GGGGGGGAAGACAATGATGACACAGAAAATGGCTTTAAAGCAACTAGACCCGGGGGGCGGGGTGGTGTTTCACCAGAAGAGCAGGCTACAAAATGACACATAGGCCCTATCTCAACTTTCAAAATAAACGAAAGAGGAGAAATACCATCACCCGTGATTATTTTCCTTTATGTTTTGGCTACATTTTATTTAGGTTTTTTATTTTTATTTTTTAAGATTTTACTTATTTATAGACAGAACAAGCAGGGGGAGCAGCAGAGGGAGAGGGAGAAGCAGGCTCCCCAATGAGCAGGGAGCCCGATGCGGGGCTCGATCCCAGGACCCCGGGATCATGACCTGAGCCGAAGGCAGACGCTTAACGGACTGAGCCACCCAGGCGCCCCACATTTTAGGTTTTAAACAGTGGACGCCTATTACTCTTATAAGAAAACAATGATATCATAATGATAACACCCATTTTAGTTTTAAGGAAAAGCTGCTGTAGATTGAGGAGTGTCCCGCCCAGGGCAGAGCTCCGCCCCCACCTGCCCTTTCACCCGGTCACTGCAAGGTCATCACTTGCGGCCACCAAGTTCCTTCTCAGGCACAGGGCTCTCAGTTTCCCTTTCCAAGGAATGGAATACGCCAGACACTAACGGGAACAGGTCCTGCTCTAATTCCCCACATTTACCCTAAGCCCAGAGAATACAACCAACTTCCCGTTTAGGTCGTGCTGGAGCCACGAAGCCAGCCCTTCTGCGTCCCCCATGCTGCCCGGCAGCTGGTGCTGCATTTCAGCCCCCGCTCCAGCCTTCACAGTTCTGGCCTAGGGTGGCCCCCGTCTGGGAGGAGGAGATTTGGAGCGGGACAGAGGTTGGACGAGGCAGCTCCGATGTAGAAGACAGAGCTGTCGGCTGAGCCAGAAACCACCACATGGGAGGAGCCGGGGACCGAAAACGGCGGCTGGGCATGTGCCACCAACTGTCACCCCGGGACACTGAGGACACGGAGCCGAGGGAGGCAATGGTGCAGAGGAGGGTTGGGAGGAACAGCTACCGATACATTTTTCAGACTTTGTCGAAGCTACTGATGAAACCATCATGCGTCAGCCTGATATTTAAATAACATCTCGTTCTGATTCACGATGGAGACGCCAGACAGGCAGGCCCTCTGAAGCCAGCTCGAACGGGGAAGAAAGCACATTTGCCGAGACCCTGAAAAAGAAAATCAAAGCCTGCTTTTATTGATGCACCCACAGACAGACCGGCGATTTGGAAGGGATGGCGACGCTAACATGACACTCGTGGTTAACGCAACCCAAACACAGGAGGTAGGAGATGGCTTTACAGGGACATGATGCCTTCGTAAGTTAGGGAAACGGACTGCTCGCTGGCTGCCCTCCTCATTTCATGTTCTTCACGAACTCCTCTCCCTTCTTGATGGAGGCCTTCAGCTCGGGGATGGCTTCCGCTATCATCTTCTCTTCGAAAGAGGAGATCTTGCCGATGCCTAGATTCTTCTCAATGCCCTTTTTCTGGAGGAGACGGCAGGGGGTAAAATTGGACAATTTAAAATTTAAGAAGGATCATTGAAAATAATACTTAAGTTTTACAACAGGTTTCCATGAACGAGGCTGTTAAGGAAAACCTGACGTGTAACTTCATGACCCTGCCCGGCCCACCCACCGGGGGCAGCTTGCTGAGGGAGCCCGGCCAGCCGGGACGGCATGAGCTGTGCCTGGAGTCTGGGTTTCAGGCAGACCGCCCCCCGGCTGGGATCCAGACCCTGACACTCACTCCGTGTGCACCTCGGCCAAGGCTGTTTCTTTATCTAGAAACCGGGCGGGCGTACTATCCACCCCAAAGGAGGCCATGAGAACACCCGTGGGCGGCTTGGCACATGGAGCACTCAATCCTTAGCAGCACTGAATGTCATTCTCCTCGACACGGACCATACTTTTGGGTTCCTGTCTTTTGCTAGGTTGGTAATATCCACCCAAGTCCAATGTAATCAAGTAGGGAGACGGGAGACATCAGGAAAACAGGTGTGTCACTGTGTCACCCCCACGGCTGAGCCCGTGTGTCTGCACCTGCAGCCTGGGCTTCCGGGCCGCCTCCCCGGAGAGCCCTCCCTGATCCCAGGGCCTGTAGGGCCTGCCAACCGCACACACCCGCGCCGCCCCGGTCCCGGAATAGTGCCTGTCTCTCCACCACACGGTGTCCCCGAGGCCCGGGGCCACATCTCAGGGATCTTTGGACATCAGGCATCTATGGGAAGGGCCTCTGGGTGGCCCGGCACATCGCCAAACTGTTTCATTCGGGGCAGGAGATGAAGGCAACCACCCCTCTGTCTGATGACAGCGGCTGCCTGCACATCAGAAATGGAAAGCTGGCGGGACGGTGTGTGAGTGAGACCTAGCGGTGTCTGCTCCCCGAACACTCAGGAAGAGTCACCAGACTGGACAGCTGCCTCCAAAACAGCCTGGCCGAAGCCAAGCACTGTGACGGGATGGCCTCCGTCCTAGACGCCACCACTTCAAGCGGACAACCTATAGCACGCTCCAGGAAGAAAACCAGGAAAATCTCACAGCTCAGTGACCTGTCTCCGGGCCTCCCTGGAAGAGGAATCCGGCTCAGCGGGCCTGAGGTCGGGACAAGAAGGAACAAGTACGAGCCAGAGGGTACAGCACGCGGGCTGGTGGAGGGAGGCCTCTCCTTCAGAACTGTCCACGGCTGCCTTGAGGTGGAACAAGCGTTTCATCAAGAAACACGCCGAGTCAGCCGCTGACCAGCTGGCCGATCCACGGGGAAGGAGGGTTCCTACCCCATTTGAGGTTTCTTCCTGCTCTTACTTCTGGGACGTGGGACCACCCTCAAAACCCCCAGCACAGCCCAGGCACTGGGACGCAGTCACTGCACAGGGGAAAACTGAATTATGGAGCAAACAGGCCAGGGCTCCCCATCTTAAGTATAGAGAACGCACCTGCTTCCACCGTCACAAGCCCCAACCTCTGGGATACGTACCCCCAGCAGTAACGGGGTGGAGAAATAGGCACAGTCTGCTTCTTGGGACTTAACGAAGGAACACTCCACAACTCCTTCCTTTCCGTTCATCGCATCCACAAGGGAGAAGACAAAGCGGGCTCCGGCGTACGCCATGGACAGGGTGGCCGAGCCTAGGAGGACACAGGTGGGTCAGCCAAGCTAGCACCGCGACCGGAAGATCCGGGCAAGCCTGCCCTCCCGGCTAAATAAAGCAGCTGCAAAACCTTCAGCTTCAGCTGTGAAGAATTTAGGTTGTCACCTCTTCATTTCGCAAACTCGTGAATGGCGTGGACCTCTACCGCCACTCCGCTCCACAAAGCTGGGCTGCCCCCTGCCACCAGGCTGGCTTAGCCCGTGAACGTACAGGAAGCCGAGAAGAGCATTCGCTGCCTTCCCGGGCCCTTCCGGTCTTCAGCTGGGGACTGCAGCACGGCCTCACCTGGGGGCTGCCCCCGAGAACCCACCTGCTCCAGCTTTGGCCTTCACCACCTCTGTGCCGGCCTCTTGGATCCGCCCAGTGATGGCTGTTAGCTGGTCCTGGGGAAGGTCCACCTTGGGAGTGCACTGCGGGCCAAAGCCACAGGGACCACGTGAGCAGGTGCTGCCACCACTCCCAGACCCCACACTGTCCTCCCCCTCTCGTGGCAGACCCCTCCCCTGCCACTGCCACTACAGGGGAAACCAAGACCAACTCTGCTTTAAAGAAAAAGTCAACTTTGTTGGGAGGTGTAGGTGGCCCCTACCACCGGCCCACCCCCCCCTCGCTTTTTAAAGTGAGCTCCACACCCCATGTGGGGCTTGAACTCACAACCCTGAGATTGAGTCGCGTGCCCAGCCAGGCACCAACCTACCACCCCCCCCCCCGCCCCTACTCATTTTTAAAGAACTTTTAATATTTTGGACTAATTTTAGACTTAGAGAAAAGTTGTAAAAATAGCACAAAGATTTCCCTCACCCGGCTTACCCCAATGTTATTAGCATCTTACATAGCCACAGTGCAATTATGAAGATCCACGAAATTATCATCGATACATTAACTACAGACCTTACTCAAATGTCACCCATTTCAACACTACTGTCCGTTTCCTGTCCCAGTTCCCACCCAGGACCCCACCTCAGTCCGTTTCCTAATAGTCCTGTCTTCCTGGACACTTGTCAAGAGGACTGACAGCTCGTTTTGTAGAATGTCCATCATTTTAGATTTACAGAAGGTTTCCTCATACCTTTCTCATTGGGTTATGCACTTTTGGCAAGAACAGCACAAATATTTTGTGTCCTCAGTGCATTATACTCAGGGGTTAGGACACTGACTTAATATATCTCATTCTCAGTGGTGTTCACCTTGTCTCTACTCATTTTTTTTTAAATTTATTTTTTTAAAGATTTTATTTTTAAGTAATCTCTACACCCAGCGTGGGGCTCGAACTCACAGAGCTGAGATGAAGAGTCGTAAGCTCTACCGACGGAGCCAGCCGGGTGCCCCTCTACTCATTTTTAAACAAAGCAGCTTTACCTGCTCTGACCCAACCAGGAATTCAGTGGTTTCCTGCAGCAGTTTTCGTTGTGTGCTGGGAGCTGGCCACTGTGAGCACCTTCTGACCACACTCACTCCCACAGGTGTGGACCCCAAAGTGCTGGAGCCTGACCACAGCCCTGCAGGCCACTCAAGAACCGCCCCCACCCCCGACAATGGCTGGGGCTATATCCACAGCAGGAATTCTCTCAAAATACGACAGATGCTTAGTTCTTTGTCAGTCTGTCTTCCGTACCTCGAGGTGGAACCTCTTAAAGGTGTTCCCGGTATCACGGCTTCCTGGCAAGGTGACACACTTACCTGGGAGATCAGGGGGATGATGGTCTTCCCAGCATGGCCGCCAATGACAGGAACATTGACTCGAGCGGGATCCAAACCCTGGCCACCAAAGTATGAAGCTTTGTTAATTTTTAAAGCTCTTTGAGTATAAGCCATGTCATATCCACCTAAAGGACCAATACTGGAAAAAATCCACAGAAGTCAGAACAAAGAAACCACAGAAACCAGAGTCCAGCTGTGTTCAGATCTCCTGCCATGGCCCCACCAACATCAGTTGGAGTGGCGCAGCGAGGAGTCCGTGTCACATGGTGAGGTCACTTTGAGGGTCTTCCTTTACAGGGAGCAGAAAACTGCCTCCTTGTAGGGTCCCCCCATTGGTCCCTCAGAGGACAGTCCTCTTCCCCAGAGCTAAGGTCATTCCCCATGCACCAGCCCAGATTCACGTCCCCATACTTGGTCACAAAGAATGAGTCCAATTCCCTCCCCATCACTGTAGAGCAAAATTCAAAACAATTCCAGAAAACATGGGGGTGAGAAGTCTGTCAATTCACAGTGGTTAGGACAGAATAAAACTGAGCTGTAAGGGGTCAAAACACCATGGTTCTTTGTCAGGGCTTAATAGGAGAGGCTGATTCATTTGTTAAACTGGAGGCACAACACCCCCAGTCTGCGGACCAGGTGTTTCTTTTTCTTTTTTTAAGATTTTTAAAATTTATTCACTTGACAGAGAGAGAGAGACAGAGAGCACAAGCAGGGGGGAGGCAGGCAGAGGGAGAGGAGAAGCAGGCTCCCTGAGGAGCAGGGAGCCCGACTTGGGGCTCGATCCCAGGACCCTGAGATCATGACTTGAGCCGAAGGCAGACGCTTAACCAACTGAGCCACCCAGGCGCCCCTGGACCAGGTATTTCTTAAGATGGTCCAAAAAAAAAAAAAGAATCCAGTGGGAGTTAAGGGAGGGAAGTGAGCAGTCCCCCAATGATGCTACCTTCCCTAAATGCCGCAGCTGCTAAAGAGAGCAGCCCTAAGTTAAGAACGCGCCTTGCCCAGGAAGGGCGACCCAGCGTTGAGGGGGGCAGAGCCCACAGGACCAAGTTCACGGAGCAGGAAGCTCACACAGCGGCGCCTACGTGCCAAGGCAGTGTGCCAGTCACCAGGGACACAGGCAGGAGGCCCTGCTTTTGAGACCCTCACTGTTGATTACGAGACAGAGACAAGTGACGTCCCCGGCTGCTGTGCTGAGACGGCCACACAGGGCGGCTTTGGAAGCAAGGGCAGCCCTTCATCAGCCTGGGAGAGGCTTTCTGGGACAGATGTAACTTCATCTGAGAAGCAGCAGCAGGACTTTGCCAAAGGAAGTGTATTCTAGGCAAAAGGAGCAGAAAGAGCGAAGGCCCGGGGCCGTAAAGAACATGTAATCACATCAGCAAAGCCAAGAGAAGGTGGCAAAGGGGCGGAAGATGGCCGAGAGGACTGAGGGAGGCTCCAGACACTAGCGCTTTAAGGGCCAACTTTCATTCCTGATACAAATCAGGATTTTTCCAGAATGCCAGAGAGCCTGAGGGAGAGGACAATTCACTTAACTGAAGCTTGACAAGCACTAGGTTATCTGCCAGGGGCCAAGATCCCCCTTCCTCCACCTCAAACAGTAGAACTTCCCAGGCTATGACAGCACCATCCCATAGAACTTTCTGCGAGAACACAGGAGCCACATGTGGCTATCGAGCATCTGAAATGTGGCCAGCGCAATGGAGGACACGAAATTTCTAATTTTCTGTAATTCTAAGTAATTTACATAGCCACGTGCAGCCACCACGTGCAGCTAGGGTGTTGCAGCAGGACCAGGGGCCCGGGGGAGATGGCGTGCTTTGGCCCCCAAGAGCTTGGGAGCACCACAAAAGCCCAAAGAGAATGAGCACTGTGGCTCCCAGGAAGCCGGGCTGCGAGCCTCAGGAGGCCCGAACCCCACCCTCCCGGGCTGTCCTTGGTCAGACTCAGCGGGAATGCCAGCTCCTCCGGAAAGCCTGTCCTGAGTCAGTCAACTACCCTCCATGTCCACGCCCGACTGGTTTTTACATTCCACTGGCTCTTGAATCCCAAGGCCTGGTCTGTCTTCTGGATCTCTGGGAGCCCCGCCCCCAGGAGAGGGGCTGAGGACGTGCCGCAGCATGAAGGAAGACAGGGCACCGCACTCCAGAAGCGGACCTGCCTGGCACACGGGGCATACGATCAAGGCCAACAGTCTCATGTGTGCAGGACAACTGTTCCTACTTCAGAGAGGCCGCCTCATCTGCAAGCCAGCAAACACTGGCCCAGAAAGCCTCTCCCGGGCTGATGAAGGGCTCCCCTTGCTTCCCCTCAAGACACTTCCACAGGCCAGAGAGGTGGTTCTGCTAAGGACACCAGCACTGGCGCTGGTCCCCGCCCCCCCAGGCACGGGCCCAGTGGCCCGGTCAGCAGCCCAGCGAGCCGCAGGTGACCGCAGTCAGAACTCCGTGCCAGGATCGACGATCCTGACATCTCAGGACTTCAGGAATGTTCCCAAATTCTTCATGTTTGCCGATTTTATCATTCATTTGACAGATACCATTAGCACGGAAAGCCTGTTAGTTCTAGTTTTTAGAGGCAAGGAACTTAGCACAGCCCAGCTGAGGCAGCGGGAAGTCTGGGAAAAAGCCCGGCCCCTCGATGCACCAGGGAGGACAGAGAGGGAGCAGAGTCAAGACTCCAGCTGGCTGCGGTTAAACCTGCAGGGGTCTGTGTGGATCCCCCAAGGAAACCTGAGAGCTACTCTGCCCCACGGGGGCCAGCCCCAAGAGCACTGGAGACCCCCTGGTCTTCTATGCTCACCGATCAGCCAAGGACATCCGGAAGGGAGCCTGAAGAACACCGATGCGTCCCTTACCTTCAGTTCCGCAATGAAAGTATTGGCTCTGACAATGTCCAGGGTCGTCACCCCGAAGATTTTATTGGGGTTGTAGACTCCGTGTTTCTTGAAAACTTCCGTTGCGATCGGGATGGTGGAGTTCACCTGGCAAATGCAAGAGAGAGGTGTAACTTGCCCTCATCCTGAGAGAAGAGACATGCCACAGACAGAAACATCTCTTCCCCAGACCACTAGCAAGTCCTAAGGGGCCAAACTGCCCCGGTAACTTTGTTTACAGGCAAGCTGCCCTCGTGGTGGAACAGGTCACTGTGGGCTGACTTCCTACTCCCCCCACCCCCCACAAAGAACCCTTCGTGGCGGCAGGTGCTCCTCCCCGTAGGGGCCCCCGGGGTCCATGGCTCAGATGTGCATGCGACCTTCCGGCTGTCAACCTAACAGTGAGGCTGACTCCACAGGACACCTCCCGCTCCCACTGGGGCCGACACCTGAACAAAGCAGAGCACTGCGCGGGGCCAAAACCTCAGAACGCCTCGGGTCAAGTCCCAGCTTGGCCACTCTGCAAGGTAAGCCTGGGCAACTGGTTTCCTCACGGCAGAGACAACCACCTCCCGAGGCCGTGAAGATTATGGGACTTAATAGACAGCGAGCGCTGACACAGTGCCTGGTGCACAGAGAGAGCATAATAAAGATGCAAGCCCACCGCAGGATTTACGTTAGGCGCTAGGTTAGCGTCCCAGCAAAAGCGGTGACTGCTCCCTACTGCAGACCGGTTGCCCCGAGGAGGGTGAGCTAGTTGGGGATCGGCTCCTCAGAGGCCCTGGGGACAAGCCCCGGGCGTGGATCGGTGGGCACGGCCCCCAGTCAACATCACTGTCACTGCATTTCCACCCAGGACCTGAGCCTCAGAGGCCGGCTTCACCCGGGAAGGAGCCACAGAGTGCGCTGCGGGCCAATGCAACCCAAGGGACTGCTGGGGAGGCGTGGGGGCTGCATGTGTGGGTACGGCATGTGTGCTCTCGGGAATCAAAGGAGAAGCTCCCCACAAAACCCCAGGAGCAGGGCCCGGGGTGGCTGAGCAAGCCTGATGGGGAACCAGGAACCGCAAACCCCGAGCAGAACAGGGTAAAAGAGGTTAATGGGCCACCACAATCAGGGCTGAACGGAGCCTCAAGAATGGACTTTGCAGGTGGAGAAACGGACACAAAGAGGGGAAGTGACTTGAGTGATTTGCCCAAAGGCCCATGAGTGGTGGGAAAACCAGGCTGGAATTCACACTTAGTTCATCCCGCGCGCCCGCTGCTGCCCCTTAATCGGATTTTGGGCCCTGCAAGCACCTCCACCTCCTGCTCACTGCGGGCTCCTGGCACGGCATTAGCGGCCCACCTGCCGGCGGCACTCACCGGATTGGAAATGACGCAGATCATGGCCTCGGGGCAGTGCTGGGCGCAGGCAGCAGACAGGGTGGCCACAATGGAGGCATTGGTGTTGAACAGGTCATCCCGGGTCATGCCTGAGAAATCCAAGATGTTCACAAGGCACCAAATGAACCGCCCAGTGCTGTGTGTCAGTTGTTACAGGGAAACCGAACATTATACCTGTTCCAAGCCAATCTATCTTGTAGGAAAAACAACCTAGTGTGACAAGTGGAGGGGATGGAAGGCGGGGAGGGGGCTCAGGGAGGGAGGTATCTGAGGAGGATCCTCAAGGATCAGCAAGAGCTCCTGAGCAGCAGGTGGAGGAAGGGCACTCCGGGCAGACTGCATGCACAGGAACATGAGACCGGGCAGGGCACAGACACGGCAGACACGTGCCGGGCCAAGAAAGGGAGGCCTCTCTATCCCACAGGGACTGGGGAGCCTCTGGAATTCTTCTCTGCCACGGAGACGCTGACTCGATCCACTGTAACGGAAAACCACGTCCCCACCTGACTGCCAGGGATATGCGAGGCAAGGCTTCCAAACACACACCTGGTTTTCTCGGGACTCCTGCTGGAATAACCACCACATCGCAGCCTTTCAGGCAATCCGGCAGCTGCTCAGGTCCGAGGTAGCCTAGACACCCCCACCCCAGGAGAGAGCAAGTTCACCTTTTCTGATCTGCAGAGGCGAGCACGGCTGTGGGGACGGAGCCAGGGGAAGACGGCCCCCACTGGGTCTGACTGTTCCAGCCGCCTTTCACGCCACTTTCCTCCAGCCTCCGACTGCCTGGGTCCCACCCCCGTGGAATGGATCAACCGTCTAGCCACCCCCCCCCCACCCAAGTTCAGCTGTTTGTCTTTTTCGGACCCGCTAGCATCTGTAAGGCCTTCCTGGCTCCCAGTTCCAAGAGCTGCTTATTCCTCCCCGCAACCACCCAGGCGTCCTAACAAAAGCTCCATCTCAGGGTCAGATCTGAAGACACACTGAAAGCCACGTGAGAAAATCGTGGTGCTGATAAAGAAGGACTGACTCTAAGTATTGGTATCTCTTGTTTATTTCTATCATCTGAGGGGAAAAAAAGGTCCATTTTCAAAGGCTGCAAGGGAAATTTGCTCTGATGACCAAAATTTGCTTTGATTTGGACTTTTCCCTTATTGCAGGAGCTTTCAGAAGCTCCAAAAGAAAACGAGCCAACAAATTCAGAGATTACGGAAGGCACAAAAACGTCTGAGCTGACAACCGACCTCCCGAGCTGTGCCCACTGGCTGAGGACACATGTGAACACCATCACGCAGGGCATTCCCACGCATGGCCAGCAGAGACAGAAATTACTACCACCTTTCTGGACCGCAATTTGGGACTTTACAGTCATACCTACTGATTCGACTTCTGGCTTCTAGGAAACAAGATGTAAGGAGGAAGATGTTCGTCACGGCTTATGTATTTGAATTTAGAGTAGAGCAAAATAGGAAACTGCTCAGTGGCCAACAGTATAGGTAGTAAACTAAACAAATGGTAAATTACAGTACTGCTTTAGAAATGACTTAACCAAGAATTTGGGGACATGGGTAGATACTGCTATAAAGTAAAGGCAAGATAACCAGGATATATGATATGTATGACGACGAATTACTTCTTGGATGACATACACCCATTTGCCTGACAGGAAGAGCAGATCTCCCTAAGGAGGCCGTGCTTTTGGGAACCTGGCAGAGGAGCCTAGGGTGGCGGGAGGGCTGGCCCAGGGCACGGGAAGCCAACCTGCAGCCCCGGGGGTACAGCATTCCTACTGCCCCCCAATCTCCAGAAGTCCCCAAAAGTCCCCATCCTATTACTTTTCAAATGAGAAAAAAATTAAAAATGGGAAGATTAGATCACCTTTGTTTTTCTGAAAGATGCTGCTATTTAAATTTTTTACAGGCTCAAGTCCAAAAAGACGTAGTCACTTGTCAATTCAGTTCTACGATGCACGTGGAAACCCCGAGTCTCTGATCTACTTTCACTGAAGAACCGTGTTCTATCGCTTGGACCCTGGTCTACTGGGGAGAAGGGAAGCAAAGTCTCCAGGCTCAGCGTGTCCAGTACCTTTCACGGTTGCTCTGGTCTCAATGTGGCTCAGATCGGCGGCCACTCCGGGCGTATGAGCAATATCGTAGAGGGTCAGGCGGCTCACCAAGGGACTGTTCTTGAGGAGAAGCGCAAGGGGCTGCCCGATTCCTCCGGAAGCCCCTAGCACGGCTACTTTCGCATTGTTCTAAAAGAGGCACAGAGAAAGGACTCTTAATACAGAATCGGGGGACGCCTGGGTGGCTCAGTTGGTTAGGCAACTGCCTTCGGCTCAGGTCATGATCCTGGAGTCCCGGGATCGAGTCCCACATCGGGCTCCCTGCTCGGTAGGGAGTCTGCTTCTCCCTCTGACCCTCCCCCCTCTCATGCTCTCTCTCAAATAAATAAATAAAAATATTAAAAAAGAAAATACAGAGGGCGCCTGGGTGGCTCAGTTGGTTAAGCGACTGCCTTCGGCTCAGGTCATGATCCTGGAGTCCCGGGATCGAGTCCCACATCGGGCTCCCTGCTCGGTAGGGAGTCTGCTTTTCCCTCTCCCCCTCCCCCCTTTGTGTTCCCTCTCTCACTCTCATTCTCTCTCAAATAAATAAATAAAATCTTTAAAAAAAAAATACAGAATCGGTATTAGAAGTAGTCACGTGATAGCCTATAAAATACTGCACTGGGTCTCTTTTATTGCTGTGGTGCCAAATGAGACACCAGCGTCGAATTTCTACCAGTCCAAAGGTCCGGTTTTCTTCTGAAGCGTAGAGGCTTATCTCCGGGAAACAGGGAACTTATGTCCACAGATGTTGTGACAGTCGGGATCCTACTGCAAACACCCCCCGAAAGATGAACAAGTTCTACTCAGGCAACTGCCCCTCAACCTGCAGTTTTAACTATAAACAAACACATACTGAGCACTCACCAACAGGCCGTTCACTGTACGTGGGGAAGCAGAATGGGGAAGAGCCCTGCTGGCTCTGGAGGGGACAAGGGAAAGGAGCTGATGGGGGAGGGGGCACGCAGCATCAGGAGGGATGTGTGTTTCGAAAGGCTCCCTCCCTAGCAGTTAAGTCAGATCTGCAGCCTCAGGCGCCTGTGCCCCACACTTCGGGGTCTCTGAGGATTACCCGCCGCCGGACTAACAAAGCCCACAGAGGGCCAGGCTCCTCGAAGTAGGACAGGGCTCAGGCCTCTGTATAGCCAACCATTTCTGGGTGACTCTGGCAGCAGCCGAAGTCTGAGAATCACTACTGCTCCACACCAAGCCAGGCAGAACAAGCAGCAGGTGGCTCTGGGCATGTCAGCTGCAGGGAAGAGTTAAAAAGTGATACAGTTGAGAGACTCGACTGCCTTGCTAGCACCTAGAAGGCTGGAGCTAGAAGTCAAAAGACTTGACCTCCGACAGCTACTTCAGAGCTAAGTACATCTAGACTGGCATCACTTAATCCCCTTCTTATTCTTATACCAAGGAGTGGGATTGAGGAGTCACGCGGCAACTCCACATTTAATCTTTGAGAAAGTGCCAGACTGTCTTCCAAAGGGGCTGCTTATTCATCTTTAAGGCTCACCTCCAATTCAATAGGCATGGACCTCCTACCTGCCACACGCCAGACTGACCGGCTAGCACCAATGACAAGACCTGCACACCGAAAGGCGTGCAAACCGAATAAACAGCATCTAGTGTGACAAGTGCCACGGAGGTAGACACTAGGAGAGAATTAAGCGTGAGGGGGTTTTGAAGGAGGAGCAGCAGTTTACCAGATGGATGCTAGGGGGAGGAACTGTGGAGTACGGCCTAGTGAAGGGAAGCAGTCCTCTAGGGCTTGGGCATTGCTGGACGCATGTGGAAGAAGAAAGAAGGCAGGGACAAAGCTGAGAGCCTAGCAGAGTCTATCTGGCCTTCTGGGCAATGGGGAATCGGTGAAAGGTCTTAGAAGCTGGGGAAAACATGTCCAGAACTGTGTTTTTAAAAAGACATGAAGCAGAATGGAAGATGGCCTGGAAATATCCAAGAATGGAGGCAGGGAGACTACTGCAATAGTCCAAGCATGACTCAAGGTTGGGATCTAGGCAAGCAAGAAGGATGGGCGGGCTACAAGGGATTCAGTCACCTCCCCTCCCCTTCCATCTAGATGGTGAGTGGAGGGAGGAACCTGGCATGACAACTTGCCGGCTTGAGTAGACAACATTGCCTTTAAGCAAGAGAGGGAACTGAGGAGAGGTAAGGGGTTTGGGAGAAAAAAATAATGAGTTCTGTTTTGCATGCCGAGTTTGAGCCCCTTGAAACATCCAGACACACACGTGCCCAGTAGGCTAAAGGCTTGGTCTGGAGGCCCTATGCATCTGCACTGAGATTAATGGTAGCCCCAGATGTGGGCAAAACACAAAAGGGAACACAGTGACAGGAGCACTAGGGACAGAGCCCTGTGAACACCAGCATTTAAGGAGGAAGAGGAGTCTGTGAAGGATGATGACCAAATGGGACTTACGGCCACCCCCACCCCAGCCATTTCCAACAACTAAGTCAATGACTGCCTCTTGGTAACCTTTCCCACGAGGGACAGAATTTATTATATAGGACTTCACCTGAAACTCCCACCATCCAGCAACCTCATCTACTGGGAACGCCAGCAAAATGGTAGCCGCGGGCCATTTATCAGGTCCACCCTGGGGCTGATACTGAGCTACGACTTTCCTTATCTGATTCTCAGAACTCCATTAAGTAATATTAACGGACTCACTTTACATATGAGGAACTAAGGCACAGAAATTGTAATATACCTGGGCCCCAAAAGATAGCAAATGACGAAGTAGGATACAAGCCTCATTATACAAAAAGTACCCTTCCCCACTAGGGCTCACTCAAGGCCTAAACAAAACTCCTCAGTGAGCTTATTTCTACTCTAACCTTACAAATGAGAAGGGGAGCCTATTCTGGGCCAGCAGGCAGCTGCCAAGGAAGGAGACAAACTAATAGCAGGGACAAGAACCTGAAGCACCATATGTGGTCCTCTCAGGCAGAGCCATCTGCTTTGGGTCCCTATACTCTCACTGCAGATCGTATTCTACAGCAACGGCCACTAGGAATAATGGACTTTGGTTAGCAAACCCCGAAACCAAAGCCCAAACAAAACCCACAGTGTGTCATCTGCTTAAGAAAAGTAAACCCCAAAAGCACATACAACTAAAAATCTTCAGTTTTATTTATTTATTTTTTTAAATTGGTGCTGTAAAGGGGGACCCTTGACTTCCCAGAAAAGGGAACTAGCCAGATCAACCCAAAATTGAGGTCTGGCAATCTCATCCACTTCTCGATCTTCAGTCAATCACTCTCACATCTTGTCTCTACTCCTAGGGACCTCCAATTCCAACTCCCACATTCCCAGCTCTGTTAGGCATTCCAATGGTCCCATAAGCCCAACTGTCTAAATAAATGTATGCTTTCTACTTCTCCCACCCTGTTCCCAAATAGTACCCGTGTTCTCCCAAATTCAAACCCTTAGAACCACTTCCTGCCTCTTCCCTTATTAGAGACACCCAGTTAGGACTTGGAGGACTTGGCATCTCAAACATCTTCCCAACCTTCCCCCCACCTTCCATTCCCATTCTATTATCTACCCTAGGCCCTCAGCTCCACCTCAAAACCATCCTTCTGAAAATTAACTTTTGATCATTTCACTTCCTTACTCAAGAATCTCCTTGAAGTCCCTCATGCCCAAATTACTCAGACTGGCTTCCAAGGCTGACAAGGGCAGTGGTTCCACTGTAGAGCCCACACTGGGTGTAGAATTACTTGAAAATAGAAAAGAAAAAAGGAAGAAGGAAGGAAGGAAAAGGAAGGAAAGAAAGGAACTGACCTGATGCCCTCACTAGGGTCTTTAAGTGAATCAGTCCCTTATGATACATAAGATGACCTCCTCACTCATTCTGTTGCTTTCAGTGTTGAGGTGATGTCATTATTTGTATATTACAAAGTTTCATCAATTTAGTTAATATGTATAAAATACAGTCCTTCAGTGGTGGAATCTTTACAATGTAGAATGAATCTGTGGTATTGCAGAGATGAACTCATGATCTCTTTGCAGAAGACCAATTTCCAAACTTGCTCATCTTTTCTGCATTGAGGAGTGGTTGTTAGCAGCACACATGCTCAGCAACTTTTGCAAATGGGTAACACTTCCTTCATTTGTAAGTTTGCTTTATAATATGTCTACTATGGTTTGTTTTTTTTTTTGTTGTTTTGTTTTTTAAAGATTTTATTTATTTATTTATTTGAGAGAGAGAACGAGAGAGAGAGCATGAGATGGGGGAGGGTCAGAGGGAGAAGCAGACTCCCCGCCGAGCAGGGAGCCAGATGCGGGACTCGATCCCGGGACTCCAGGATCATGACCTGAGCCGAAGGCAGTCGCTTAACCAACTGAACCACCCAGGCGCCCCTACTGTGGTTTGTTTCTAAAGTTCTGTTTTTTGCGTTATAATATATATATTAGTATATAACTGCAGAAATAAATATATTGAGGCTGTGTTCTTGATACATTTTTTTTTAAGATTTAGATTTTTTATTTATTTGAGAGAGAGAGAGACAGCGAGAGAGGGAATACAGCAGGGGGAGTGGGGGAGGGAGAAGCAGGCTTCCCGCCGAGCAGGGAGCCCAATGCGGGGCTCGATCCCAGGACCCTGGGATCATGACCTGAGCCGAAGGCAGATGCTTAACAACTGAGCCACCCAGGCGCCCCGATACATTTTTGTTGTTAAGGATCCAGGAGCACCTGGGTGGTTCAGTCATTTAAGCCTCTTGATTTCCGCTTGGGTCGTGATCTCAGGGTTGTGGGATCGAGCCCCAGGCTCAGCGATGGGCATGGGGTCTGCTTGAGATTCTCTCTCTCCCTCTCCCCCACACTCTTAAAAAAAAAAGATACAGGATCCAAAGTCTCTAGACCAATGTACCTACTTCACTCAAGCTCATCATTCTCACTTACTCTAGTGCCTTCCAGTATCACCACTTGTATGTTCCATATGCATTTTAAATTCAACATCTCAAACTGAACTCCTGATATCCTCCCCCTACCCAAATCCACTCTCTTCCAGCAGCCTTTCTCATCTCAGCAATTTCAAAGCCCAAAGTCTTCGTGTGCTTCATTCTGGTACCCCTCATCCAACTGTCCCTCAGCAAATCTCACAGTCTTACCCGAGTTCAGTTCCCTTCCCCCACTCCTCAGCATCAGTCTTCAGCACCTCCACCTGTCCTAAGTTTACTCACTTGGGGCCTATCTCAAGTACCACCCCTTGTTCATCTTGGTATCTCCTGCAGCACCCACCACAGATCTTGGCGAGCATGGATACTCAATACTCTTACTTGTGTACTTATTTTTCAAATGAACTGAATGCACAAGAAACTGATCTGAAGGACAGAAGCTAAAGCAGAAATCTGGAATCTCCTTTACTCATCAACTCCCTCTTGGGTGCAATAAAGAGGCAATGTGGGCATCTCCTGGGTTCTCAAACTTTAGTTATATTAGAATCACCTGGGGCACCTGGTAAACATACAAAAGCTGCAGGTCCTACCCTCCCTCAATGCACCCTGGCCCGTCCTTCATTAGCTTCCAGGTGATTCTAACACACACCGGAGTTAGAGAACCACCATCCTTGAAGATGACTAAAAATAGCTTAGGCTTAAGCACTACCAAACCAAGCCCTGCACAGTCACCACACCTGGGGGCAGGCCCAGTTCGCCCACAGCAAGCAGGATCCTTCAAAAGGGTCCTGAAGAGGCGGCAGCGTCTTTACGTTCTTAGAGGGAAGGCTTGATGATCCAAAACCCACTGACAGCGGGCAGGAGAGCGGACTTTTAACTCTCTGGACAAATGACTGTAACCTTGGACCAGTTCCCTACCCTCGGTATCTCAGTCTGCCTGCACTATGGAGTTAATACTTACACGTTATTTGTACGGATGCTACAAGAACAAGGTCAGTCGCTTCAAGTACTACAGAAAGTTGCCTACAAGCATAAATTATTTTCGGCCCTACAGCCAAAGCTTCTCAACCTTGAAGTTGTGTAGACCAAGTGGAGGCTCTCTGGGGGTCCGGGGGAAAGAGCTGGGGGGGCCTCCCCCCCACCCCCCGCTACCGGGCTTTCTTTCGGCACGTCCCTTCCAGTATCCCGGCCGGCCCAGGGCGCCACAGGCGCAGGTCGGTACCGGACGACCCTGCGGTCTAGGCTAGCCCGGGGATCAGGGCTGCTCGCGAGCCCAGAACCCACGTGGCCCCGGCCGGGGGGGCCTCCGCCTGCAGGTAGCCCCTCGTCGGGCCTACCTGGGCCGAGGTGCTGAAGCTGCGGCGGAGAGCGGCGCCCGCAGGGCGGGCGAGCGCGGAGAACATAGTTGGAGCGGGCGGGGACCGGAACGGCAGGAGAAGGTGCAGGCGGCTGGCAGGTGACACCAACGACCTCCACACCGCACAGGGCCTCCCGGCTCCCCTCTGCCCGGCCTCGCGAGAGTGGCCCGGCTTCCGGCCCCACCCCCCTCCCAGATCTCGCGGCAGCACGTCCATCTGGGCTGTGGAGGGAGGAAGTCGGGGGGTCGCTTCCTGCGCGCAGGGAGCGCAGTCCGGGCGGGGTCGTAGCGTGTCTCGCGTTCCGTGCGGCAGGTGGGGGAGACGCGGTCGCGAGTGGGAGGGAGAGTCCGCACCACAGAGGTGGAAGAGGACGGGATTTAGGCTGGAAGAGCCTTAGAGGAGCCACTTCCAGGTGGGGCCCCAGACAGACGCTCTGACAAGGAGACAGGTCAAGGTCGCGCTGCAGGCCCGGCGGAGTGGGTGCGGTCCGGGCCCTAGACCTCAGCCAAAACCACCCCTCCTACTCCTGGAAGCAGGAGGGGCTCCGAGCTCCGGAAAGCTCTGGAAAGGGAAGTGGGGAGAGAAGGCTGAGTCCTGGGGGTGGGGTGGGGGGATGGGGTCTTCTCTGATCAGTCACTTCAATGCATAGCGCCCTACCTCCCCCCCCCCCCCCCCCACGCTGCCCACCGGCCAGTGCCCTCGTCCCTCAAGGTGCACAGGACCTTCACAGACACCGCCATTGAGAATGGCAGACGCAGCACAGTGGGCGAGGCTCTGTTCTACGAGTTTACAGGAAAGCAGCCCCGTGTTACAGACGAGGAAACTGGTATCCAGGTGGTAACTTGCATGGCACCCGATCCCTAATCCTCAGGTCTCCGCAGCAATGCTATGAACACGGCTACATTGTTGCTGCTGTAGGTACGAAGAAACTGTGGCTGAGCCCAGTTAAGTGGATTTGTTGAGTTTGTCCAGACAGAAAGTAAAGATACGGTTCTTGCTCCCAAGGAATTTAAATTTATCATTTAAATTTGTGAGTTGAATTAGAAGCTTCGTTCCCCCCCACCCCCAACTATTTTCTGGGTATATAGAATTCCTCAAAAAGTTCAGTCAAGTGGGACAGATAGATGTGCAGCAGTTGTTGGTGTAACAAGATCTGCCCATTTTCTGCCTTTTAAGGAGCTGAATCTACTGGGGGAGACAGGTGTATTGCAGGCAGCATGACAGGGGCAACACTAGGAAAGTTATGAGGTGTGGTGGGAACAGAGGAGATGCATCTAACCCACATTCGGGGTGGGGGCCATTTGAGAAGGACGTCAGGATGAGACATGTAGGAGGATACACATTCAGGAAGGAGTTACTCAGTGGGACCATTCAACTCCAGAGGAGGGAGAGATCCTTGCCTGGGCATGGGAGTTCAAGTTTTAGATGAGAAAGAAGAGCCCAAAGTGAAACCTGGGGGTAGAAAAGCCTAAGTCTACAGATGTTGAATAGATCCTCTCCAGAATTTTGGAGTTGGGGACATGCAGATGAGCAGTGTCCTTTATCTTATCACTAACTGTTCTCTTGTTCATTACCCCTGTATCTTACCACTAGAACTGAGAGTTCCTTGTGGTCAGATAGGTCTCTTATCTCTGAGTCTTTATTGTCCAGCCACGTCACCAGGTTGAGAGTGGGTCTCTGAGTTTTGGAAGAGTTGAATAGTTTTAGATAAGGCTGGGAAAAGCAGGTTGCAAAAAACCAGATTGTGCAGGACCTCTGAATGTTCGCTGCAAAGTTTGTATTTTATTCCTTGGGCAGCAAGTGTTTATCAGGGGTTTTTATGATGCCACTGGCACTATGAGGAAGATTGGACTGACCTTGGCGTGCCAAGTTTTCTAATGGAAAGATGTGGAGGGCAGGGAAATTGTTCAGGAGGCTATCTTAGGAGATGACAAAGATCTGAGTTATGATGGTGGCCATAGAAATAGAGGGAATGGGGCCAATGAGGAAGCAGTCTCAAGAAAAGAATTGATTAGTCTATGCCTATCTGGGCTTAAGAAATGAATACAAGGGATGAGGAACATCAGGCTGAGAGAAGTATATATGTGCAGAAACAGGGGACTTGGGGTTGTGGGGAAGGAGAGCTGGCTGGAGGCAAAAGATAAAGAGCTCCATTTAGATGGGTTGAGTTGGAAGTGATGGTGAGTCGTCCACATAGAAGTACCAGTGGGCAGATGGGGAGTTACTCCAACGTGAAATGTGGGATTGAACGCCCAAGACAGGCTAGGGCTGAAGGCATCCCTGTAGAGGGGAGAGGGGAGGCCATGAGAAATAGGAGAATCACAGATTCTCAGGCTCACTCCCAACACCAGGGGCTCGAGTCCCTCCCCCTCCCTGCCAAGTGCTCTACTCAAGCCACCCCAAACAACTTGACTGTTAGGAAAGCCCGCCTCACAGTTCCCAGCTGCTTCCTTTTCAATCCCAAGATGGTTCATAACGGTATTAACAGCTACTGTATTAAGCACTGATTCTGTGCTCTGCTTTGCATGTGTGACTGTTACATCGAACGTGGTGGTGGTGGGGGGGCTCTCAGGAAGCCCCTTGCAGTCCTAGAACAGTTTTGTCATCCCACACTTTCTTGCTTGCTTTCTTTGCTTGCTCTTTGGGTTACATCGAGGCACCAGAACAGACTCGCTGCCATCGCCTTCATGTCCAGTTCACATTAGTTGTCAAATCTCAGCTTGATTCAGTGGCAGAGCTTCTCTTCCCCTCAAGCTTGCTTTAGGCTCCCACCCTTGGAGGGAAGGGTGCTTGGCTTCTCCATTTCCCCCTCTTGCTTCCTCACAAGCCCCCTCCCCTGTTAGATTGTGGCTTCAGACCCATGGGGGTTGTAGGAGTAGAGATGGGGGCAGGAAATTTCCCCTGTCATCGGCATTAGTATTCTCTGAGCCGGACAGGAGTTTGTAGCTGACTATCCTCCATGTGGTACTTTTGTGGTGTGTTTCCTTTGACCTAGGTGGTGATGCCTCAGTCTTGCTGCTTTCCGTAGTTCCTTCAGCCCCTGGTTTCTGGAATTCCATACTACCTGCAGTTGGCCCATCATCCCTCCAGGTGGCAAGTCTTGGGCAAAGTCCCTTTACCATGGCTTCCAGTTGACCACCTCTCTTGCCAGCTAGCCAGCCTCAGATTTTCCCAGGCTGGGGCCCAGCGCCAGCCTCTCTGCCTGCACTAGCGTCAGAGGGCACAGGCCAAGCTATTCTAAGGGTTTCCTGGTTTCTTGAGTTGTTTCAAGAAAGCTAAGGCTTGTGAATGTTGGAATTCAGAAGGATGCTAATGGAGGGAGAAGGCTTTGAGATTGCCGAAAGAGAGAAGGTTTAGGTGGGAGAGGATAAGGTCACAGGATTCCAGGAGAAAGCATGAAGCCCCATCACTCCCACCCCCCAGGGGCAGCTGCCTGAGGAGGGGTGTTCACACTCAGTGGCCTTAACATTCCCAGGCAAGAACGAGGAAATGAGAGAAGTTGCTCCATGGGGACCCAAGGAGGGTTGCGGAGGTTTGGATAAGTGTTACAGCAGTTGGGGAAAATTCTGGGCAAATGAACAGTGACACGGGGATTTGCTGGTAGCTGTGGAGGCGGAGCTGAATTCTGCAGTGTGTACTTTCTGTGTGTCCAAGTCCACATGGTTTCCACAGCCCAGACCCCACACCAAGGTCATCGATGTGCAGGTGGGGCTACACACACAGGCTTCTATCCACACGTACACACAAACACGCATATTCATATCTCTGAACACAGAAACACCTGGATCTACATGGGATTTATTCTCATGGCCATATAGTTTACATACAATACAGTATACAGATCTTAAGTGTTCAGTTGGATGGTTTTGACAATTTACACCCTTAACCACTGCCCCCCAAAACAATCTGTAGAACATTTTCATGTTCTAGAAAGTTCCTTCATGCTCCTTTCAGAGGAGCAGAGGGTGAGGCTTAAGCCCGATCAATGAGCAGAGGAGAAGCAATGCTGAGGGCAGAGTTGGAGGAGGTGAGACCAGATGTTACGGTCACAGCTTTTGGGAGACTGCATTACAGTTGACCAGCCCCTATGTCTGCCAGGTGAATGGCATGGACAGACCTGTCACTCTCCCAGGACTGCAAGGGTCCCTCTCAGGTGTGTAGTGGGCCTAGGTTTGGGGACACGGAAGTGAGGGCAAGATAGAAGACAAGGGACAGGGATGTGGGCACCTGGGTCTGGGCCTCTGCCCATACCTGTTGCCTCAGAAATCCAGAGATTCTAGCAATCACTAATGATAGGAGCGGGTGCTCCTCTGAACCGAGAGACTGATCTCAAGACCACTTCTGACCTCCACAGCTCGGGGGTGCTCTAGCCTGGAACTATGTCCTCTAGCTTTGTCAAGGTTCAGGCCCCAAGGAAGGTGTCTGGCTGTGATTGAGGAAAGACCATACCAGATCCTGGGGGATCCTGCCCCTCAGGCAGCACCCGAGGCTCCCTCCACTTAGAAACGTGGTCAGCTCCTTGGCCTGAGATGCTCTGAACGGTGCTCTCCGTCTATGGGATTTGTAGCTATCCGAGGATCCTGGGCGAAATTGGGAGGAGAGAACTAGGGTAGAAGTAAAGGAATGTCTATTTCCCCGAGCTCCTGCTCTATGCCAGGGCCGGTGGTAGTGTTAGACAATTGGTGTGTGTCCTCTCGACGTAACCTTCCTACAGCCTTTCCAGTGGAATCCCGTGTAAACTGCCTCCCTTTACAGGTGAGGCTGTTGAAGTCTCTCACTGTATTAAGCCTTGGTCATCTTTGCACAGCCTCCTGCTTCATACAGAGAACCAGGGTGTAGTGGGGTTCTCTCTGGACCCTGAATCCTATCTGTGCAGTCCTCTGGTCCCTGCTCAGTCTGAGCCAGGAGCCCAAAGTACAGCTTATGTCCTGGCTTCTCCAGGAGCATTGTGCCTCTCCTCTCCACCGGAAGCAAATGCCCATCAATTGTGTTGACCCAGACTGCCTGAGGCCGAGCAATAGACCAAACTCTCTGTCCTGGAAGTCCTTTGAGAAGCCTGATGTGAGGCCTGGCCTCTGACAGCCATGCTGTCAGTCAGAATGAAAGGCCTCATGTGTTGGTGAAGCCCAGGGAGGCAAGAAGGGCTGGGTCTGGCCAGTTTCCAGCTTCATCTCAGGCT